GATCCAATCTCTTCACTTCACTTTACTTTATTCCTGCAGTGACCTTAGACTGAAGTTAAATTGGTTTTTTGCTGTAGTACATTTTCAGTTAAAGCAGGACAACTCTGAGATTCACTGGCTTCCTCTAAACCGGCTGTTCCGGTAAAACAGAAAAAACCATGCCTGAAAAATATTATCTTCGCTTCTCCTTTGCGGTCCTTCTCAAATTTGCTTTTCTAGCTTGAAACTTGGAATTTTATTTTTGCACTTTCAATCAAGGCTTTCATTTTCTGTGCCTCAGAACTGCAGTCTGTAAGAAAAAAATAGGGTATTAAAGACACCTGATATGGACAGAAAAGATCAAATTGCATTACTTTTGAAGCTTCAACGTAGCTTCCTTTTATGTACATGAAGTGCAGATGTATTTCAGAGCACAAAGATCTGCATATGAACTTACTAAGCTACGAAATACTGACATAGGTATGAAATCTTGGAACTTAAATGCACTCAGAACCCATCGTCTGGAAACAGTGACACAAATGATATGTTTTAGTTCTAAAGACAGTTTGATTGAAGGACCGGCCTCAGTAACTTGCTGAATGTAAATTAATTTGTACTTGTTACATTGATTCTTGGGCTCGTTCATAGCAGTTCACAAAACAAGCGATGCACTTGCAAAGTGTGATTGGAGTGAAGGGTCCACCAGCACATTAAGTCTCATACAGCCATCCGTTACCAAATTGAGTTAAAAGACACCACATCAGCTCTCTTTTCTGAAAAAGACCTTTTATCCCTGAGAATCCTGCAAATATCAGGAAATTTAAGACATCGTCCCCTGAGCAGTACTGCACTTAAAGCACTACAAGTTCTCAGCCTGTGGTTTTTGTAATGCTGGTATGTGCATTGAAGACAGGAAAGAAAATGTGCAAGACAAGGCTCCTCAAAAGTCAAAAAAAGGTTGCCTGACTCCAGACTCTTCCCACTGTGCCATAAAGTTATTTCTACTTGGGAGAAGAGAAGTAGCTGGCTCTCAGATACCTCACCAAGTCTTTCCATTGAATTTGAACTGCAGTCAGCGGGACAACTGCCTACACAGAAGCCATTCAGATAGCAGTGGTCTTCTGCAGCTCTATACATCCTACACATCATTCTCTCTGTGAAGTTCAGTTTTGGATAGATTAATTTAACACACAAATCACAAGCAACCTTTGAGCAAGCAAGCTACCAAAGCAGAAGTGAGAACAGCCTTGCTTACAAAAGTCACGCTCATACCTCAGAGGAGCTGAAAAGGAGACCAACTTCCCCAATATAGATACAATTTGTTGATGTGAAGATGTGGCAGATGGCCGAGTTTCTCTTTCAAGGGCCATCTACTGACCTTGGTCAGCATGAGGTACCTATATACCAGGGTAATTTCACTTCTGCAGTGGAGGAGTAGAGGGCCAACAGGCATCAGTTATTTATGAAGCCGGGGAGAAGAAAAGAAACCCCACACTTCCAAGCCAAAATAAAAGTTGTTGAGGACATACACAGTCCAGTACGCGAGCTAAAATCCTCGTCACACTGACACAGGCATTGCTTGACCTATTTCTCAATATTCTAGACTTTAGCCCCGTCATCAGGGATGTCTGACACTTAAAATGGTACACAGGAGGAAGTTCAATGTAAATGAGCTTTGAGCTGAACTCTGCCCCTGTTCCTTCTCCATTTTTATGAAAGAAGACTTAAATATCATTGCTTCCCAGCAAAGGCTGACATTAAACCCTCAAGCAACGCTATAGGCCTTCATGCCAAGAGGTTCCACTTAGAGATTGCAATTTCAGATGAAAATTCTCAGCTTCTGAAATTCACTTCTCCAATGTGCAATGTTAATGAATTGTTCACAGTGCTCCAGAGGTACTTGTAAGCAATAGAATTCATGCAAGAAATCTATTAAGACTTTTCAAAGTTTTCTTTTCTGGAAGTAAGAAATATTTAAAGACTATTCAAGAAGATTTTTTAATAGAAGTATATATAAGAATTTTTTCCTTTGTGACTGTAATATTTTGCCATATTATAAAAATCACTTTAATATTGCATGATTTTATATAAATAATTTAACCAACGCTGAAAACCCTCAAAGAGACAAACAAGAATCAAAACAGGAACTTTAGGTAAGACAAAGGACTCAGCAGCACAGAACAGAAGCAGATGATTCATGCCGTAAGCAACTATATTATAAATAATTAAACTTCAACAACCCTGAGAGGTGGCAAAATATCACCGCCCCTATTAAATATGTTAGTCATGGTATTTATGTTCCTCTATAGAACCATAATATGATTACAAATTCCCAGACAGCAGCACTCGGTGCCTGAAGAGTTTGCCTACCAGTTCTGCGTGCTAGGCTACTGATAACAGCAGTCTTATGCCCTCCATGTGATTAGATCTCTTATGCTAGCCCTTCGTCTTTCAAGTGCCAGGGAGCAGCATTCAAGTCTTTAATGAATACAAAAAAAAAAAGAAAAAAGAATATACACATCTCTCCCACCATGTTCAGCAACAATACTAAGTGTTTGGAGAAGGAAAGCAAGGATTTCAAGGCTTGTGAATGGGACCTCTCTTTCCCGCAGCAGCCACTCTCAGCCAACACGATTTTGGGTTAAAGTATGAGGGGAAGAAAACACGGAAGGGACTGAAGGGAGCAAGATGTGACATCAGCTTTACAACTGGATGTCACGGGGACTCTTTCCTCCCTTTTCTCAATGTCTATCTACCCCTCCCAAAATCCACAGACCTCAGGTACACAGCAGCTCTGAGTTTTGCTGGCACCTGGAGGGCACACGGGCTGTCTCTGCCTGAGAGCTGAGTAGAATAACTAAGTGACACCACAGCCCCGAGAGGGGATGAGGGCAGGGGTGTAACAGCACTCTTATGAAGGGTGGTTCAGACCACGGCATAGAATTAGTATTGCTGATACTATGACAGCAATGTGTCACAACCAATGTGCCAGAACAATTAGGTGTCACACTTAAGAGTTACAACACTACCACAGGATTGATATCCTGGCCCGCACCGACCACACACTGCAGAAGGTATCCGCAGTATGTTACCAAAATAGGCTATTGTAGGAATTAATGGAGGGACCCAAATCCCAAACTACTACCTAAGTGACTGAAAAGCATTACACAGAGGTGCTTTCAAGACAGAGGAATTCCATGATTTATGCAGGACCTCTGGAAAAGGACCAATTCTGAATCAGTAACACTGCCTCCAGAAAACTATAATCTCAATGGTCAATGCATAATCTCAAATCAACGCACAGATTTCTCACTAAAATTGTTCCCAGTCCATCTCTCACACCTCTAATGACAGGAACCTTGACTCTAAAATTATTCTGTAGCTATTCAGGATAATCTGACTAGGGTTATCTGTTTTCTTCATGTCTGTTCTCTCTGGAAGTGTAACCTTCCCATTTTGCTCATTCCATCCTAAACTCACCTTCTACAAAGTTGAAACAGCAGATGTTCAATCCACATACCATCCAAAATGCCTGTGAATTAAACACCTCCTCCTTCCCACCACTTCCTATGTGGACCAGGGCATGAAATTCAGATACAGGCTACATCCTGATTTGAGTTGAAAAGCATTCTCTCCCCTTACTACTTTGCAGTAAGGGGAACCATTACATTACCCACAAAAATCAGGGACAGCACAGGTGAAGATGCAGACATTCCCCCACACATACAAAGGAACTGTTGGCCGTTTTTGTGAAAACCTATAAACAAGCAAGGTTTCAAGTTTTCTGCCAGGGGACCACACCAGCACTTGTAGCCAACTTTGTTAAGCCCTCTGTTCTGTCCACAAGCTATGGATTTTGCCAACGAACTGCAAAGAGAATTGTCGGAACAGACAGGAAAACAAAGTTCAGGTTAGTAACAGAAATCTGTTCCATATTTAAAACAAACAAACAACAAAATCACACAACTGCTATTTACAAATACCATCAGGGTACAACTGAGGTCCCCAGACTCTCTCTGCCAACATGCTGTGCAGGTTTGTTTTGGAATACAGACTTTAATGTTAGGATATAGCATATAGATACAGCAGAGCAGACTACTTGTCACTTTAAATAGTTGCAACTTAATTGGAAAAATCAAGACCTGGAACATTTTACTAAATGGATCAAGCATTGCAACATCTAGAAGTCCTCAAAAATATAGTCCTACCCAGTCTGTGGCTAAAGCAGACTTCTGAAAGAAGAAAATGCCCCCTGAATCCCCACGGAAACTCCCTGCCTGCAGCTGCGCTCAGCTGGGCTGCAGAAAAAGCTCTTAAGTGACAGAAACTGCCCCACAGCACACCAAGAGGGGCAGATTTAGAATCATAGAATGGTTTGGGTTGGAAGGGACCTCAAAGATCATTTAGCTCCAACCCCCCTGCCATGGGCAGGGACACCTCCCACCAGACCAGGTTGCTCAAAGCCCCATCCAGCCTGGCCTTGAACACCTCCAGGGATGGGGCACCCACAGCTTCTCTGGGCAAGCCGGGCCAGTGCCTCAGAGTAAAGAGCTTCTTCCTAATATATAATCTAAATATCTCCTTTTTTAGTTTAAAACTGTTACCCCTCATCCTATTGCTCTACTCCCTGAGAGTCCCTCCCCATCTCTCCTGTAGGCCCCCTTCAGATATTGGAAGGAGGCATAAGGTCTCCCTGGAGCCTTCTCTTCTCCAGGCTGAGCAACCCCAACTCTCTCAGCCTGTCCTCACAGCAGAGGTGCTCCATCCCTCTGACCATCTTCGTGGCCTCCTCCGGGCCCGCTCCAACAGCTCCACGTCCTTCTTGCGTTGAGGGCTCCAGAGCCGGACGCCGCCGAGGTCTCACCGTGGGGCAGCACTCCCCTCTCCACCTGCTGCCCACAGCCCCTTTCCCCTCACCCCGGCCCCACCACCGCGCTGGGATCGCCCCCCCAACACCCATCTCCGTTACGGAGCGGGGGTTCCCGGCCGCGGTCCTGAGGGGAGTCCGCGGGGGCTCCTACCTGCTGCCTGAGGTAGCGCGTGAGGTAGGGGGCGGGTGGCGGCGCGGCGGCCCGACGGCGGCGGGGGGCGGGCAGGGCACCGGCCGCGCCGAGCAGAAGGAGAAGGAGGAGCCGCAACATGGCCGGGAGGAGAAGGGACGGCCGTCCCCGCCCGCCGTCCCGCCGCTTTATACCGGCCCCGCTCCCCCCCGCCACCGCCGCCCCCCGACGGCAGCCCTAAGGGGAAACCGGCGGGCGGCGGGACCCAGCGGAGCGGGGGCGGTGCCGCGCGTGCGGACTGGGAGAAGGAGGCTTAGCCTCCTGGCTTTCTGATTGAGCGAGCGGGGCGGCTCGGGGTCACGATTGGGTGAGCGCCGCATCCTCCCCGGCCCCTAGCGACGGCCCTTAGCAACGAGCGCTTCCGGCTTCCGGCTTCTCCTCAGAGCGGGGGCTGCCGGGGCAGGGGGCCGGCGGCGCTTCCCTGAGGCCGGAGCTAAGGCTATGGGGGCACGGCCACGGCCACGGTAACCGGCTTTCGGCCTTTGCGTCCTGTGCGAGCCTGAGGGCTCCGAGGGGAGGTGGTGGCGCCGCTGCCTGTCCCCTTTCCGGGGTGGCAGCGCTTCAGCGCCGTCCCTGCGGCCGAGAGGCGGAGAGTCGGCCCGGTCACGGAGGAGGCCGCTGGTTAAGGGGTAAAAATTGCGACGTGAGGCCTGTTGCAACTCCTCTTGCGTCTTTTGGGTCTTTTCTGAGGGAGCATTTTAACTGTTGAGCCCACTAGAGGGCACCAGGCACTGATGGAAAACGGGGTCAGGCTGCAGCGCTGTGGCAAGGCCTGGCTCTTGTGCAGGCTGGCGGTGGGGAGCGCCTGGAGTGCCCCCCGGATGGGTATGTGGGTCCAGAGCGTTGCTTTGCTTATTAAAAAAATAAAGTAAAATGCGTCTCTTGGTACTACGCTAATTTTAATGTACGTCCAGATAATGGGTACTCTGTTTCTGCTGAAGAAAAGTAAATGTTGAGTCTGTTTGCTCTAAAGCAAGCTCTTACCAGAACCTCTGTCATCGACCTATACATGCTATGCTATATCACCCATATTCCAGTGGAATATTTGAAGTATTTGCCGTGTTTTCTGCAGTGTGTAGTGTTGTTTTTTATTATTATTATTTCATTAAAAACTGCAGAGAACAGTATATTTTGTTTGTATCATTCCAGTTGGAATGTGAAGCACCTGAAGGTTTCTCCAAGTCTGCCTGCATGGGCAATAACAAAATCAGACTTACTTTGATTACTTCTTTTCTGTGTAGCAGTATGCTTTACTTGCCCTATTTACTGATATCTTGTACTGTAACTAAAGCAAAACAGTTCTATTTTGTCAAGAATTGAAGGCAGGCACCATTTAATGTATTAGATCAAATGAGTCTCTGTTAATGCATTTTCTGAAGAGAGATTCTTCGTTTTGGTTGTCCCTCCCGTAAAACCTTTTACTGCCTCTGTTGTCCTGGCCTTTCTGCCATAGGGGATATTTGGATATGTCATCATTTTTCTGACCTCCAAACTAGTCAAAGTAATGAATTTAGTCACTTGGCTTTTTCTAGCACTCGTGTTACAGATCTTGTTTCTACCAGAATGCTGGGAATTGGCAAAGGGAGAGCCTGCGATTTGAGCTGGTTTGTGGCAAAATATGAGCAAAACATCATTGTTGATTACTGAATGGCTTTTAACATGTAAAAACCGTATTAACTCTCCTTTATCCCCTTGGTCTTCTGCCTCCCTGAGTGAGTTCTGGGATGAAGATGTGAAATTCACTTCTTATTCTGAGTTTATTCTGCAGCTTACATTGAGAAGAGATGTATATATAGCTATTAGTGTGACAAAAGTGCTTTTGCAAATAAGGCTTTATGAGGTGGCCTTTAATTCAACTGTAGAGAACATTTTGGTTGGAACTCTATGATTTGAAGTATTTTAATGTATTTTTGTCTAGGTGTTTCTAACATCTGCTGAGAAAAAAGTTAACTTTTCCAAAATAGGGGAAGTTTATTAAACCTTGGGTTTTTGGACAGTACAGTAATTATAAAGGCAGATAATTCTGCAGGAAAGTAATGCTGAATAAAAAAATAATTATTTATTTATTTAAATATTTAATTTGTCATTTATTTGTCAGTTCCATATGTGCTCTGTGTCAGAACCAGTGGTAAATACTGTAAAGGTGTCTCTTTGGCTCAAAGGGCATGAATAGAGTTGCACTTGCAAGCCCTTTTGAGATTTTTTGGGCATTTTGTTTTTCGTTTCACAGTCATTGGCATTGAAGGCATTTGCAGAATTGCAGGTGTAGAATCATTTCAGTTTTTAACTCTGTGTTGTGACTTCATTCTAAATTAAGAAATCAGAAATGGATTTGCTGCAGTGCTGTGCTCAAGGATATTTCTAATAAAGATTGGGAATAAATACAAATGGGAATTTGCATGATTTATCTGCACTGGTGTGCATATATCATGAAGACTTGCTTATTATTACATACCTTCATCTTTTTTTTTTTGTTTTTTAAAGCATTAGTTAAGGGTAATAATAGACTTTGCCTCAATTGGGCTACTATTTTCAGACAGAGGTCATAATTTCCTGAGGGTTGCCTTTCAAAATGTTCAAACAACCCAACTAAAAGCAGTCAGTGTTAACATCTCATAAAATGAGAACTCTTTGAACCATTTGGACTTACTTGTTTCAGGTGATGCTGTGAGCACATGAATAGTGTGAGAGGACTCTTGGCTGCCTCTGTAATTTCTGTCCAGAACTCCTGCTTCATCTATCCTGCCTGTCAAAAATGCTTGTCTCGGCTGGTACTGGATTCTAGAAGGTACGTCCTATTTTTGGGATCATTAACTATAACTGTCAGAGGCCTTGGGAATCTCTAGGAGCTTGAATGCAAATTAAATTGGTGAAAATCCAGGCATTGTAGAAATAAGTGTTAATTTCAGATATTTTTGTTACTTACCACTATTTAGATCTCTTTGTATTCCAGTAGCAGCTTGTAGATTTTTATGGCTCAAGAGTTCTGTTGTGTCCGGTGCCATGTAATATCAAAGGACAGTTTGAGAGAATAAATAATGAGTGTTAATAACTTCCAAGTGCATCCCCTGCAGTCCAGTTCTTCACTGCTGTTCTTAAGTTCGAAAGAATTGGTTGAAAGCTCCTCCAAATCAAGTCCTAATTTTTTTTTATTTCTTCTTATTTTATATGTGCAATGCATCGGTTAGTCCTGTATGACTCTTGCACTTGCTGTGTATCCAGAAATGTATGGGCTTTCCTTTTTAATCCCACTGTTGTGCAAAATCCATGACATGTAAAAGAACAGTAAATCAATGAATGTCAGCACTAATTGGAAGGAGCTGACTTTGCAAAGCAAGAATACGTGTTGTTTCAAGTGCTGAGGATAACAGTGCTGTTGCCTGATGATTTTTTGTTATAGTAGAATTTACAGCTGCAGGTAATCGCTGCTGAGGTAAGAAGTTAACAGAAGTTCACATATTCAATCTTTTTTCTTATCCTTTTACTGTCTTTTCAGGTTTAACTGTCTAAAATGTGGCTGCACAGGTGAAGCTAAAGATGCAAACTACAGATATAGATTGGCCCTAAAGATTGCTGACACTAATGATTTGTTTGACATTACTGTGTTTGGAAGTTGCTTAGATCCATTCTTTGGGGTCACCGCAGAAAATCTGCAGAGGTAAGGAATGAATTGTTTCTAACTATGTAGCTGCTACTTTTTCTTCAGCCTAAAAAAAATTGAGATGAGCTTGGATGATGGGGAGAAAAGTGAGAAGAAGCTGCTAAAGTGCTCCCTTTCAGCTTTTCCTTGGTACCTATCACCTTGAGAAAATGCTGAAGTTTGATTTCTTCCTGAAATCCTGAAATTTTGAGATGGATTACTTCTACATAAGAGATCCTCCACTTGTTTGTTGAAGGCAGCTATCACCTGCTCTGTGAGCTTCACAGTTTGGTTGGTTGGGCTTTTTCCTTGCATCCTTCTTCCTTTGAGATGATTGAAATTTCTTTTATCTCATGGCAGATTACTAAATTGGCTTTTGCATAGATTGAGACATAATTTTTCCTCAAGATTTTAGAAAAGTCGTAAGGTAAAGATAGAACCTCTACTGTTTATTCTTTAAACGGTTTGAATTTGGAGGAAAAAAAATAAATGTCCACCTTATGACTGGTCTTCAACGTGACCAGATTTTCCTTTAGCAAGGAGAGATTTCTAAGAAAGCCTGTTAGTCCTCAGAGCTTGACTTTCTGATGTGTGAAACTGCTCGGGTGAGATATTCAGATACATTCACTGCTGCTTTCTCTGTTCTGTTATTTTGCAATGCCCTTTGTTGTCACTGGGTCAAAGATGACCACTTTTTAAATCCCATATTAGCAGCATTGATAACATTCTCATGGCAGGCTTTCTACAGTAGACTGCTGTGCTACTGGTAGCTGTGAAAAGTGAGAGTTTTTCGTGGGAAAAAAAAAAAAGTGGAAAAAACAGTACAGGTTGGGGCTGACCTGCTGGGGAGCAGCTCTGAGGACCCTGAGGAAAAAGACCTTGGAGTCCTGGTGGACAACAGGATGACCATGACCCAGCAATGTGCCCTTGTGGCCCAGAAGGCCAATGGCATCCTGGGGTGCATCAGGAAGAGGGAGGTTATCCTGCCCCTCCGCTCTGCCCTGGTGAGGCCCCATCTGGAGTACCGTGTCCAGTTCTGGGCTCCCCAGCTCAAGAAGGACAGGGAACTGCTGGAGAGGGGACAGCAGAGGGCTACAAAGGTGATTAGGGGACTAGAACATCTCTCTAATGAGGAAAGGCTGAGGGTCTTGGGTCTTTTTAGTCTGGAGAAGAGAAGGCTGAGGGGGGATCTGACCAATGCTTATAAATACTTAAGGGTGGGTGTCAAGAGGAGGGGCCAGTCTTTTTTCAGTGGTGCCCAGTGACAGGACAAGAGGTAACGGGCACAAACTTGAACACAGGAAGTTCCACCTAAACATGAGGAAGAACTTCTTTACTTTGAGGGTGGCAGAGCACTAGAACAGGCTGCCCAGAGAGGTGGTAGAGTCTCCTTCTCTGGAGACATTCAAAACCCACCTGGAAACGTTCCTGTGCAACCTGCTCTGGGTGGACCTGCTTTGGCAGGGGGTTTGGACTAAATGATCTCTGGAGGTTCCTTCAACCCCGTACCGTTCTGTGATTTGTGTCTTAATAAGGATGCTGCTGCTGCTGTTGTGAAGATGCAGGCAGAAAGGGTGTGTGAGCAGTAGCAGCATATCAACAGTGTTCTACAGTCACTGTGTCGGTACAAGAATCACACCCACACAGGGAACATCCAAAAGGTTCTGTATAAAGTAAACCTATTCAAAATGGTTATTTTGTTTATTCTATTTCACTAACAAATTAAGTGAAGTAAGCAATTGAATTTATAGGTTCATGGTTTCCTGTTTTTCATGCTATATTTAGTTTAAGCTACCACAGTGTTTTCTCTTTAGCATGTGTCCTACCTATGGCGCAGCTAAAATGCTATGTAAGGCTTCCTCTGTTGGTGCAATACTTCTATATGTTTTTACTCCAGGTGTATCCAAGACTTCAATCAGCTGTCAGGGGAAACCGACAGAGATACATCTCCAGAAGTGTTACTTCAAGCAGTGGAAACCTGTTTCATTGGAAAACGATTTATATTTGGAGTGAAGGTAACTTCTAGTCCGCATTACTCTCTCATAATAAGGTTTTTTCATCAGTTTGTAGCCACTTGGGGGCATAGACAGAGTTATTGATGTACAACATCTTTTGGGAATTTGAGAAGATTTAGGGCTAGGACACGGGAATGATTCTGCTTCTCTTCCCCTGGACTCCTGTGTTATTTTAAACGAGTCACATCCAAAAGTCATCTTGAATGGCAGTAGCCAGCTTGACAGCTTGTCAGGGCTGCTTTTCAGAGCGCCTGAGCAGTGCCAGCTCCTGTGCGTATCCCTAACAGCTTGGAGCCTGTAAAGAACCACGTACAGTTCCAGCAAGAAGCAGACTGTCTTTTCAAGCACTGCCCTACCTTTCCGCTGCAGAGTTTCCTGGTGCCTGCCATGTAAGGAGAAACCCATCCCCTTGCAGCATTCTGATATTTCTGGATTTAAGAATGTGTTTAAAAATGTTGATAAAATACAGCTGTTCGATATATGCATCTGCGGGTCTTTTATGTGTTTAACAGACTTTAAAATATTAGTTCTTAGTAATATTTCCACAGAAAAAGTCAAAGTTCTCTTCAAGAGGTTCTTGTGTGAGTCATTAATATTCTAAAGTCTGTGCACTAAATCCTATCTGGCAGGTGTTTTTTCCTCTCACACATGAGGTTTGTATCTGAGCTGAGATTTTTCTAACGCACAGCATCTTAAGTAATGGAAGTTGGAGGACTTCATAGATTAACTTTACTTAACTGGAACCGTTCACTGGGTCTCTAGGTCTGATCCCTTTACAAATAGAAGTAATCCTATATATTAACAGTCTGTGGCTGCTCCTGCACACACCAGGACTGAGCACGCATTTGAGGACCACTAGTTGAGCCTTTGGCTGTAGACATTTCTGTGTGGTTGTGTTCAGCTCCGCATGCACTTGCGCTCTCCCAGATGAAACTCAGAATCAAGATAACATACTTTTTTAAGACTTACCTAGAAATTTACTGTCCTTGGCTAACAGCCTTCAGCCTCAACTTTTGCACATACTCGGGGAGCAGGAGAGTTGTTGAGTTTAAAGACAGCTGTATTTCCTTTTTTGCCTCTCTGGCATTTCCAGACCTTGAAGGGCAGGTGAAAAAGGTTTTATCCACTTCTCAAAACATTAAATAATTAGCTCTGCTTTTAATGTAATTTTTCACCTGTAACTTCTGTGCAGAGAGAAGCAGTTTCTAAAAAGAATTGCAACTGAAGCTTCTTTGAAACACTACTCTCCACATAAATCTGAGAAGATAAAGGTTGTAGTTTATTTCCCTGTTGCAGAAGTAACGCATAGAAAATATCATGGGGCTTAGACAGCTGAGCTGCCAAGACAGGTAACTGGTACCAGTGCTTTGCTTCAAGGACTGCCCAGTGCCTCCTAGATAAAAGAAAAGCACTGGCCTTTAGGCAGCTGGCCATTTGCACAGAATTGCACTGAAGGAAGCCCGGAAGCACATAGTGCCCTAAAGGGAGGAAGAAATTTTCTGTGAAGTCTGTTCTTAGAATTCTTAGTTGTTTTTCCGGCTCCAAAACTCTGCATAATTGCAGCAAGCAAAGAACCTCACACTGTGATGCCCTTTATAGCCCTTGCCAATGCTTATTTCCCAGGGAGTACTGCTTTGTGTGACAGACCATTTTGTGTTCTCCTCCCTGCAGATCCTGACAAAAAGCGAGACCTAAATTTAAACCTGACTTAAAAGACGTGTTAATTTTTGTGGGGTTTTTTCTGTCACAAACTTAAACATTGCACTAAGTTGTGGGGTTTTTTTCTTCCCCCCCTAGGATTGTGCAAGGGAGCATGGAGGGTGTTCTGCTGCCAGCAGCATCTTGCAAAACTGTTCCAGAATTAATAGAAGTACAAAAAACCTTACAGCTTGCCAGATCTTCCTGCCAAACGCTGCTGTTACTGGCTTTACTGTTATCAGCTACTTCCATCGGCTTCTGCAGTCAGCAAAATTCAGGAGCTGTAATAACAGCTCGTACTTACTTGAAGCATCTTCATCTCCAATAGATGAACCTGCCTGTGAGCTCAGCAGCTTGTCAAGCCTGAGCAGAAACTCCTGTTTTGTTCAGTCTGGTGGCAGAGAAAGCTTTTTAGGGTCCTGGCAGCAGTCCTTTAGCCTGACTTCATCTGTTGCTTGGGTAACGGCGGGGGACTCTCCCACTCTGGAAGTGGGAAAGCTGGTGAGTGAACAGCATGAGCAAGAAGGGAGGCCTGTCACTCTGGAATCGTGCAGTGTGAGCCTCAACAAACAAACTCTTTGGGATTCATGGGTTTGCAGCTCTTCCGTGAAGGAAGAGAATAAAGAAGAGGGTAATGAATTTAGTTCACAGCCCAGTTGGCCTGACAGTATCTCAGGAACTGATAAATTAGAGAGAGTATCCTCTTCAAAGACCAGGTGTTCACATGGAAACAGTTCCAGGTTGTTGCAACATCCCTTGGAATTAGAGACTAACAGTAGAAATTATTCTTACACAGAAAAATCCCACAACTCCTATTTTTACAGAACGGGTGCCTCGGCTTCTAATCACCTAAATGCAGCTGGAGTCCCTCAGACGGACTCTGTGCTTTGGGAGGAGCTCCCATTCTCAGAAAGCCTAAATGAATTTTTAGCCAGAATAGAAGATGGCAAGAGTGTTGTAACCTCTCCCAGCCGTGATGCAGGCAAACGTGCTTTGCTTGAGAGTAACAACTTGGGTGTAAATCTTAACAAAGTGTATCCCGGGCAAACCCTGGTGGCTGGTGATTTGCCTGAAGCAAGTGTCTCGGGGAGGTTCTTGCCACCAGCAGAGAGTGATCCTGGGGAGAACGTATTGTGTGCTGGTGTCCAGTCAAATGCAAATCCTCAGAGGGATGAGGTGTCACAACCTGAGTCTTCCTCTAGGGGTTTATCTTCAGCTGACAAGGAAAGTGGAGCGTCTTGCTTTATACCTCACCTGCCTGTTCTGTCACCGTCCTTGCCGCTTACACCAGAGCCTTCTGTTTCTGAGAGCAGCTACGTGCAGTCCAAAGGAGCAAATGTTGACATTTCCAAGTCAGCTTGGTCTTTTATTAGTCAGCAGTGTACTGCTGGACACGGAGAAACCTCCTGTTTGGGAGGGAGCCAGGCAGCTACCTGTGTGCATTCTGCACATGACAGCTGGTCAGCTGGCTGTGAAAATAAAGAGAACTCTTCTACACCAAGCCCAAGAACAGATCCTGCATTCACGGGGGCGTGGGGCTCCGATCCAGCAACTCCCACCAATGCAAGAAGGATATGTAAAAGAGAATTAAAACCCTTGACAGAGCTGTCAGCAAATACCTTCAAAAGCGTTAATAGGAGAGAGATGCTGTGGAGCAGTGTCTTCCCTGAGGGCAGCTACGACGCTTCTGCTGATCTCTTCGATGCAACTCTAAAACAGGTAGCAAAACCTGCCGAAGTCTTAAATAAATCGGGCAGGTCTTTATCGCAGGAAGATACCTTGACGGAAAAGGTCACAACGCCTGAATCGGTGCTTTATCTTGGAGATGTTCCCTGTAACAGTTCAAAACTGAGCTCACCCCTGCATCTGTCCCCCCCTGCTTTTAGCAAGCACAGCACACCAGGAACCTCCTCCTTTTGCAATTCAGAATGCAATTCTGTCAGCGCTCGGGACTTTATTCCTTATTCACAGTCAACTCCTATGACAAAACCTCTCCAGAAACGGTGGCCCGTTGGGGAAAGAAGCTCTTTTGTCACTACCTTCACCCCTAAAATCCCCACTAAAATCCATTCCAAAGGCAAGCGATCCAGGTCTTCCTTCCAGAACACTCTGCTGCAGCAGCTCACCGGCAGGTTGGTGAAACGTGAAAGGCCAAGTTACAGGGAAGGCAAAGTCAGTAATAGCTCTGTTTCACAGCAGTTCTTTAGCATCCAGCTGCCTGCTGGCTTTGAGGCGTGGATCCCTCCATCTGCTAGCAAAAGGTTGAAACCAGCTGCATCTTTAAACTTAAAAAACATCAGCTGGGTGACTGACTTGCAGTCGACCTGTGGGCACGCTGGCAGGAGCCCCGTTTCCGAAAGCACGTTGAAGAGTGAAAATGATGTATGTGCTAGAAATGAAAGCTCAACCCCCGGGAATACAACCAGGATTCTGACAACTCCTGTATCTGCAGGTGTCACCAAGGCCTTTGTTTTAACCAATCCCATCCTGGAAACTTGTTCCCCTTCAGAAGGCAAGAATCTCCTCTCAAGTGGAAGTTACTCAGGGGGTGTGTTGGAAGGGGCAGTTGGCTGGTCTCCTGAGTTGTTCTTCCAAGCACGGACCCCTTTTTCCAGTAAGCCAAAATACTAAAAAAGTGTATTTCTATGCTGTGGCCTTTTAAATTATTTTTAAGACTTTTGGAAGGAACCAGTGAAAGAAAAAAGCTGTCTAACAATTAAATTGTTTATACACCTATTGGCATATGTCTGTCTGAGATGAGTTCTGTTTGTTTGCAGGTCTTTGTACAACAGAGATGGGGAAAAACAGAATTTGCAATTATTATATTTTATTGTAAATTAACTCTAGAACGTGCAATAAAAACTTTTGTAAATGTGTGAGTATTTAATAAGTCTCACTTTATCAAGCACAGTGTCGTTTCATCACAAGAAGAGTGATGGATCTGGAGTCCGTGTCCACTCCTGATCCTTAGCTGGTGACTCTGTGTAGAAGGGCCAAGATTTCATCAAGGAATTTCAAATACCTTCTAATGAGCCTGCTTAAGGCCTAGGCTGGGTGTTTGTTCAGAAGGGTTGTGTCTGTGGGTGAGGAACAGACTGTGTCAGTGCTGGCAACTAAAGCACTTTCAGGTGATAAAGACACCACCTCTGCCTTCGGGAATCTGGGAGGCAGACCAGGTTGCTCAAAGCCCCATCCAGCCTGGCCTTGAACACCTCCAGGGATGGGACAGCCACAGCTTCTCTGGGCAACCTGTTCCAGTGTCTCACCTCCCTCAGAGTGAAAAAATTCTTCCTAATATCTAAATCTCCCCTCTTCCAGTGTTCAGGACACCCAGGGAAGCATGAGGGCAGTTACTCTCTCACCACTTTGTCCTTTATTGACTATTTTTAGCATGGATCAGCCTTACAGAACACAGATAAACCTCAGTTTCTCGGTCTCTACCCCAAGTTCTGCACCTTCTAATCCAATGTATTTCTCGTTGAGGGATGAGAGGGAGAAAAGTATTTGAAATCAAACGTGCTGCTTCTGCAGCTGAGGAGGGTGTTGATGAGATACAGCCTCTGCCACCAAGGGTAGGAGCGTGTGGAGTCTGCAGGCATCCATCCATCCCTGCAGGCATCCATCCATCCCTCCCTGCAGCCTGAACCAAGAGAATGGTTCCTCGTGGCCACACGGCCACTCTGCGCAGGGAAACTCACCTTCTGAAGAAGTTTTTCCATAGCAGCCAGTGGGGTTTTGTGGGTGGTTATTTTTTTTCACTACTTAACAGTTGAGGCACAGACTCAAAGATTTGTCCACCACTAAGAGAACGTCCAACCTCGCTCTGCGTATCACTGAAAGACCTTCACCAGCAAAGCATCTTCTCTCCCTGCTGCCCTCCCTAGCCAGACACTCCAGCACAACTCAAAAGTTCTTCCCGATGCTGTAACAGTAGGTGGTGGTGGCCAGAGGCTAGGAGGTTTCTTCTTGCGTGCCCAAGCCTCCATCTCTGCAGTCCCTGGATCCTGGACATAAACAGAAGAAAAAGGACCACCCAGTTACAGCAAAAAAAAAAAAGGGGGGGGGGGGGGGGAGTAGCAAAGTTAAACCCAAGCCTCCATCTCTGCAGTCCCTGGATCCTGGACATAAACAGAAGAAAAAGGACCCCCCAGTTAAAAAAAAAAAAAAAAGGGGGGGGGTGGGGGGAGTAGCAGAGTTAAACATGATTGTGGAGGGTCTTTTTTCAGTGGTGCCCAGTGACAGGACAAGAGGAAATGGGCACAAACTTGAACATAAGAAGCTCCATCTAAACATGAGGAGGAACTTCTTCACTTTGAGGGTGGCAGAGCCCTGGAACAGGCTGCCCATGAGAGGTGGTGGAGTCTCCATGTCTGGAGACATTCAAAACCCACCTGGACATGTTCCTGTGCAACCTGCTCTGGGTGGACCTGCTCTGGCAGGGGGGTTGGACTAGATGATCTCCAGAGGTCCCTTCCAACCCCATATCATTCTGTGATTCAATGGATTTTATTTATTGGGAATAAAATCCTGCTTCGTGAATCTGTGTGTGTGAGTCAGGGAAGGCGATATTCAAAGGGTTTGAAGACACCAGTGCTCAAACAAATAAAGCTGGAAACTAGTTGTTTCTACCAGAGCTTCCCAGATAGTACAAGACCCTGGTATCACCCGCTCTTTAAGCGCTTCCTTGTGATGAACTGGGCGAACACCCACTTTATCCCAGGGGTTAGACTGGCTCCAAGGGATACACGGGCGACTTGATGCGGCTGGGGATGAAACGCTGCCAGAACTTCTACATCTTACACCTGACAGCGTCTTGACATAAAATGTTTTGTCCAGCCTGAGTGATTTCATTCAGCGGGGAATTCATCCGCACGCCGTAGGAAGCGATAGCTTTGGTGCGAGCTGATGTGATTATAATTATAGGCTCGTACAAAAAAGACTCGAGCTCAGCATGTTGAATTCTGAAGGTAATAAAACTCCTGGAAATGCAGACCGGGTTTATGGTTGATTCCCTATGCATAGAAATCCATAAATCAAGAGTAGATTTTAAATTAGGCAGAACTGTCTGTACGGTAGCGTTGAATTAATGCGGGGCAGTCACATCTCCTGTGCTTTGTGCGAGAGGACTGTGCACGTAGTGAGACCAAAAAGTACTGCTGTGTGACAGGCCCCTGTCAGCAAGATGACATCTTCTGGGCACAGCTCCCCAAGTCCTTGGTAGGAAGACTTTGTAGATGAGAAGTTAGAGGAGAGGCAGGAAGCTGCCTTGGGATTGCTCTTGTGGTCTGTCAGTCTTGTATTTCTTCCCCTGGGCAGTTTGTTCCCTTTTTTCGTGCTCCTACAATCCTTTTACCCAGGGCAGAGCTACACCTGCTGAACAAGAAGCAGAAGGTTGCACATCCCATCAGCTACATGTTCCTGGCAAGGAGGAGCTGCCACTCTTCACCTGCCCCTTACCTTTCATAGAACGGTTCAGGTTGGAGGGGACTTTAAAGATCATTGGGTTCCAACCCCCCTGCCCTGGGCAGGGACACCTCCCACCAGACCAGGTTGCTCAAGGCCACATCCAGCCTGGCCTTGAACACTGCCAGAGATGGGGCATCCACAACTTCCCTGGGCAACCTGTTCCAGTGTCCCACCACTCCCAGACTGAAAAATTTCTTCCTAATATCTAATCTAAATCTCCCCTCTTTCAGTTTGAAGCCATTATCCCTTGTTCTGTCACTACATGCCCTTGTAAAAAGTCCCTCTCCATCTTTCTTGTAGGTGCCCTTGAGACACTGGAAGGATATAAGGTCTCTCCAGAGCCCTCTCTTCTCCAGGCTGAACAACCCCAACTCTCTTAGTCTGTCCCCACAGGAGAGATGCTCCAGCCCTCTGATCATCTTTGTGGCCTCGTCTGGACCCACTCCAAGAGACCACATCCTTCTTATGTTGCGGGCCCCAGATCTGGATGCAGTATTCCAGGTAGAAGGAAGAGCTTCTCCAGCCATCACTCCCACAGGCACCACACTCCAGCCCTCCTCTCTTTCCATAAATACTCAATTCCCAAGCTGTCTGAGCTTTAAGGATATTTTCTTCCCCTTCCTTTGCCCTGTTCCTACCTAGAAGCATGCAGGGAGTTTTTCCCTCTCCGAATACCTCTCTCTTTTATCACCGACTCAAAGTGCCAGCTTCCTGGGGAACAGGGACCAGATGGTCCATATCAGACATTTACCAAGGAAGGAGCTTCAAGGTCAGTGGAGGATGCAATAAAAGACACATGGTGTCTTCAAGCTTCACAGCTCATTTCTCAGTGTAGGTGTTAGCAGAAGTCATCTTTGATGTGGAGCAGAGCACAAGGGAGGAAACCTGATCCCCAGAATGAGTCAGAGCACAAACTTTATGTGTTGACCAAAAGACTAAAGGCTTAAAATGGGAGATCTTGCCAAAAAATGATTCTAGGCCACCAGTAAGGCAGGACATTAGAGAACTCAAGTGGAAAAAGCAGCTTTCTGTGAGCATGAAAAGAGCAAGATGAAGGCTCAAGAGAAGAACATTAAAAAAAAAGGCACTGCAACAACAAATAAATTCTAACGAAACATCCAAATGTCACCTTCATCCAACACAGCCCAAGCATCCTGGTAGGTCAAGAGCTTAACCAGCTAGAGGTTTGCAATGATGGTGGATGGAGAAGCTACCTCTGTCAAAGACCACCCTCTAGTGACTGACGCCGGCGTTTCCTTGGCATTTCACAATCTGCTGTGAACTCTTTTGAAAAAAAGAAAAATTCTTCTGCTCTAGTGCAAAGGGTCGTTGCTCCCATGGACAGCAGCTCTACTTTTGCTCTTCGTATGAGGTCCCAATGCTGTGAGAGCCTTGGTAGGCTCAACCCGAGCAGAAAAGCCTTAGCAGCCATTTATTTGTTGGCCTGATATTAAATCATGTCATAGAATCATGGAATTGCCTACGTTGGAAGGGACCTTTCAGATCATCTAGCCCAAGCATCATCCTAACACTAACAAAAACCACCACTGAAAGACCTCTCTAAGCACTATGACCACCCATCTTTTAAATACCTCCAGGGATGATGACTTAACTGTGAATCTGTCTCGTACAGTTTTAGGGCAACTTTGTTTTGCAGTTCAAATAAAAAAAACCCCAAGCAAATCAAACACTTTAAACACCAAGTGGAAAGGATTAAACATTTATTTACATACAGATACATACAGAAGCAATTTCTAAGTATAAAAAGGACATTACAAATAAACATGAAGCATCATACATTCATCATCCTGATCATCCAAAATACATTCCTTTCTCAACCCCACTGTACCACGCTTGACAACAGGAACTTCTTAAAAAAAAAAAAAACACAGATGAGCCAAATGCTTCTGACAGTCTGTGATTCACAGTTTGGTGATTTGCTCACACCTAGACCCTCCCCAGCACGACCCCAGCACCTGGAGATCAATGGTCTCACCGGCTGTAGTGCATTGTCTCCACTCAAATGCTTGTGCTTGATCAACAAGAAACACATCCTCTCCTCATCCTTCTGGCCACATGTTTAGGAATCAGGGTTCTTGTTAAAATTCTGTACATTGTGCTAAATTCACAATTGTTGGGGAAAAGACAGCAGATCTTTGTGGGGAAAAAAACTCCAACCCAGGGAATTCCTTGAATGCTGTGACTTCCCTGGCATAGAAGCTGCAAACAAAACGCTGCTCTTAGTGCTTAAGCAGGTCTTTAAACTACAATTCGAACTACAGTTGATGGCATAAAACATACTTTGTTCACGCTGTAAAAAAAAATTACGTGCTTCAATATTGATTTGCCAGTAATCAAAGCTGAGAGTAATTCAGGTTTTCTCCTGAGGAAATGAAGACGCCTTTATAACATCTCTAAAAATGATCACAGCCTTCAGGAAAAAGGAAACATTTTAGACTCAAAAACCTAAAGGTAATGCAGAGCACGACGAACTTGTCAGTTAGATAACATTACAAAGGGAAACAAGCCAGTAAACATAAAATTAAAATGCCTACTCAAAGTATTAATGAATTCAAATGAAAGCTGGGCGAGTCTTTCTGTATAGATCAAAGGCAGTTTGAAAAAAAAAAAATAAATCTCATGATCTGCAAATTCACAGAACAGCCAAATATGTGCAGCAGAACAGAGTGAAGTGGAAATAAAAGAGAAGCAGAAAGAGCCTTGTCCCATATTGACAGCTGAGTGACTGCAGCTGCTCCAATCTCAGGGTTTTTAATTATTTTTTTTTCCCTTTTGTAAACAGCTGTGGGAAATCAAATGGCTATGACATATCTGCAGTGCATCTTATTATGCTAAAAACCATGGCACGTTTTAAACTACTTCCCCTCATATCCAGAGCTATACTTGTCACTCCAAACCAGCACAGCAACGAGCTCTGGGCTTCCTCCCTGCTCTCATTAAATGGCCTTTTCTCCCCCAAAACGTTGGCTTCAGAAGTCAGTTTTTTCCCCTTTTGGGCCAGAGCTAAGGCCTTCTTCCATGCAGTCTGCAAGAGCTGAGGCAATGGCAACGCCTGGAATCCCAGCAGCTCTCCCTGCCACAGACCAAACATTTCATTCTCACTCCATTAAAACACCAGAACAGCCTTCCCCTCTCCTCCACCTCCTCCTCCCTAAAGCCTCGCCTGCCATTAGATTTACTAAAGCTCATGCCAATGATGCAACCCAAACCCTCGGAGATGTTCACACCACCACCCAAGCGACAGCTCAGAAAGACTCTCCTTCTCCACAGGGCTGTAAAGTCTCCCTGGAGGGAGCTCACTGGAGGTTTTCTCACTCACACCAAACCCCCACCTGAATTCTTAACACCTGAATCTCTTGCATCGGTCCCATCAAGAAGGGAAACGTTCCTTACAGGATGCCCTCCCTGAGAATGGGCCTATCCAATTAGTCAGGCTTATGCTCGTAGTAAGAAACTTGAGGTGGCACAGAAGATGAGCCATGGATGCTATTCCTTCCAGCTAAAGCAGGAGTCAGATTCTCATGGTTCATGCAACGAGGCCCATTTCCAGTCTGAGACCTCCACAGCAGCTGAGGCATGAGCAGTATTGGGAAGGAGCAGACTCACAGATGAAAGGTACTGGAGGAATCAGGCTTTGGGAAGCTCTGAGGTTTGCATCCATGTGACACCAACCACACCACAGTCTTTGATCATTGCCCATGAAAGCATGAGAGTGCTTTTAACGTCCCCTCTCCCCTGGGGAACCATGCACAGATAAAACCATGACTGACACAAGTTTTGGCCACATCAGATGCCCATGGACCAGGGCTGGACTCCAGAAAATGCTCGGCAGGGACACCACCGTGGTGCACTCACAGGCCTGCACGTCGTTGGGAACGTTGCCCTAAGATAAGCAACAGTGGAAAAAGCAAAGGTGGCATCTGCTTCTTGAGTTTAATTGCAGCACTAACCAGAGCTAAAATTATCTTCTGAGCTTACTGGAAAAGGATAACTGGTTCAACAAATGTGATCACATCCAGGAAGTGCTAATAGCTAGTTATTAGTGTGAAAACAGAGACAGTCTCCGAGTACAGAACAGCCAGCTCCTGTTTATCCAGACAGATGAGCTGAGCTGTTAACCTTGGCTCAAAACCAGTCTAGTTTTTCACCGACAACATTCACAGCCATCTCATATCTGGGTTATCCTTCCCCAGTTACCCAGTTGACTGTATTGGGAGGGGAAAGCATCAGAGATGAGGGGTTTTTTTCTGGATCTGTATCTCCCACTTGGAAAAATCCAAGCACCCTTAACTCCCATGGCATAGTTTTTACTTCTGGTTTAAGTTATGGCTCATTCACAGGAGGGGAAAGGGCGCGATGGCATCCCCGGGTGATGACAGGAGGCAATCTGGATATAGCACAGTACAGCAAAGGAGACTTTGGGGCAGTTTAGGGAAGTGGTGATTAGGGAGGTAACTCAGAGGAAGGCAGCGGGCTACTTTGGGAGCCTTGCATCATGGTCAGCACCATCACCCTGCTGCCTGCTTCCCTAGCCAAGATAAATCCTGAATCGAGGCAAATGTGAGACCTGTAACCTTTATGGTACATTCAACTACAGCTCCAGCAGATGGTCACATTTCAAAGACTTCACCGGTTCCAGTTGAGGCTGCTTTGCTCAGGGTGCACCAGTCTCTTGTAGGAAATCAAGTGAGTGTCTTCCCCCCACCCATCATCCTAAGTCACAGAATCACATGGGGTTGGAAGGGACCTCTGGAGATCATCTAGTCCAACCCCCTGCCAAAGCAAGTCCACGCAGAGCAGGTTGCACAGGAATCTGTCCAGGAGGGTTTTGAATGTCTCCAGAGAAGGAGACTCCACTACCTCTCTGGGCAGCCTGTTCCAGTGCTCTGCCACCCTCACAGTAAAGAAGTTCCTCCTCATGTTTAGGTGGAACTTCTTATGTTCAAGTTTGAGGCCATTCCCTCTTGTCCTGTCACCGGGCACCACTGAAAAGTCAACAAGACTGTCCTTCAAAAAGGATGATCCTTCACTGCTTGTGAACTGTGACAATTATTACCCACAGCAATAAGAGGACAGACTTGATGCAAGGAAAGGGGGTGGTGTCAAGAGCCACATTCATTCAGATAAGCAAATAAAGTTGATAAACGGAGGAAGAAAGCATTTTGATGTAACATCTTTCACAGGGTGTTCACTGCTAGAATTGATCAGAGTATTCCCTTTGGGTTTTCTGGTGAGCCCTTATGTACACCAACATTCTGGAGAGTTCCCATAGTTGCTCACCAAGAATTCACAGAGCGTCCCCCTAGAAACACCTTTTCTAACTCAATAAGCTCAAAAAGGTCTTTGTTGGTAGGAGCAACACTTATAAAGATATTGGGTACTTTGATACTGAAAGCAACAGAATGCAGAAGGGACTCAAACTCAAAGCATTCCTTATTAAAATCCAGAGTAATGCAAATGCATCATAAATGCATTTAAAAAAAAAAAAAAAAAAGAAAAAAAAGAGAATTGGATTGAGGACATCTTGAGTAGGAAACATCCCTTTACTTTGCATTTTCTGCCCCACAGAGCCATGTCTCCCCTTGCACTAAGGGCTATAGCCCTTGATCTGCCCCACAGCCCAGAGAGGTTTCTGTGAGTGTCTCCAGCCATATCCGACCACGATGGCACCACAGGTCCCCAAAGGGCAGCGTATCCTGTGTGTTTGCTCAGCCTATTTTATTACCTGGAGAATTTCACCTGTTTTACGACCGAATTGAGTCTCTGACTACAGAAACCAGGCCAGCTCAGCATCTCAGATTTACAGACAGCTCTTCACGCTGAAAGGAGAAGACAAGGGGAAAAGCAGCTGAACAAACAGCAGTCCTCAGGGATAATGAAGCAGGCGAAACCCAGTGGGTCTGACTGTAACTAATTGCATCCCTTGTCAGCAGAAGCTGGGGGAAGCCTGCTGTCCCATGTGTGCATCACTAATTTCGGCTTTCCCTCTTTCCCAATCACTGTCTCCTGTGTCAGCCCCAGCCTGCTGCTGCTATTACTGAGGCTGAAGGAGCTCAACAGCCAGGAACAGCTAAACCCAGACTAGCGGGAGCCAACTGCAACCAACAGAGCTACTTCCAAAAAGACAAACAGCAGCAGCAGCAGGCTGACAGGTTTTGAGGGCTGTTTCACATGTTCTACAGCACAGAACAAAGCACCTTGCCTGACAATTTGTCATGTGTAGTTTTCATTAAATAATGATCACAAAGGCATTTAGCATTCAGCACAAACACGTATCTGACTGCGTGCTCAACCAGCTTACCTGCAGATCAAATCAGGACTTCACTATTAGAAGTAGGAAGAGGCACCCTGTGTCTCCTCCTTTACAGAGTTCATAAATTCACTTTTTCCATCATAACTTTTTGACCTGAAAGGCTTTTTTTTTTTTTTTTTAACTCCTAGCACTTGGTCTCTCATGGGGAACACCAATAGGAACAAAAAGGAGCCATGGCTTGTCCCAGCAAACGTGCAGTGTAAGTACCCAACGCAAAATACCAGCGAGTACTTCACACAGAGCAATCAGAAGCATGGGACATCTGGTGGTTTACTGGAGATCAGCCTGACTGAACCAGTGGCTGAACTGGAAAACTGAGTTTAAACCATTCAGTTTTCAGAAGATGCTCTTACTAATCTCTGCAAACAGGTTTTCTACATAAAGCAAACATTTCCTGACCATCCAACACTGGCTTCTGCTTGGAACTACTCACTGTGTTAAAAAAAAATTCAAGAAAAGTTCCCATTATGGGACTACTAAAAAAAAATAATTAATATTGACCCAAGACTCCTCAATGGCTGTGAATGTATCACCCTGAAAACCCATCAAGATCTAGCAACCACACCAAAAGCAATGCCTTGCTCTCTTGATAGCAGAGAACATGTCCAGGCAAATTTGGCCCCATTACATCAATTCTGCACAGCTTTTGGATGCTGGACCCAGCAGACATCACAAGGCTTTTACTGACAGTTCTCAAAAATCCACTCATCTACCAAGGTGTTGGCCACAGTTGGAGAGACGATTGTCAGATAACTGGGATTTATGGTGTTTTTTAATGTCCTTTTATTTTTCAAGGCTTTGATCATTGTGCTACACCACTAAGTTGTCATTAGCAGTTGATAAAGTTCTTCTACAGTCTGATGGCTTCTCGACCAGAAGAAAAGAAGATAAGCCCTCAGTGCTACAAGGAGCAGAGATACATTTGAAGGAGTTGCTACAATAAAATATCGACTCTTCTGTGTTTGTTAACTGCGAGTTTCAAACTACAGCTTTGGCTTATGACCTTATAAAACATTGCACGTACAACCATTGTTTCCTTTCAACTTTTTAAGCCTACACAGAATAAAATTTGAAATTAATCAGTTCAGATTTGTCCCCGGAGAAATCAGATACTCCACTGCAACATCAGCCCAATTGCAGCCCTCCACCTGCAGCTAGTATACAAAATAGTCACCTACAGGTTAGGGAAACATTGGAAAAAAAGACAACCTTCTAGAAACCTCAAAGTGAATATCCATGAAATGACACCAGGAGCACTTTAAAAATGCATTTATAGTGGTATCTGGCAGGAATGAAAAGTACCTGCCCAGCTTTGATGCTTCTGGCAATCAGGCTGAGGAACTCACAGGTGTTTCAGTGGGCAGTCTCCTTCCTTCTTGATCAACTCAAGAAGCCCTGCCCTACTTGATATCAATTACATGCTGACAAGTCCAGCATCTGGAGAGCAAGAGCTTTTACAAATTAAATATATGTAGTATTGATTTTTAACTTGAGAGTAACCTCACATGTTAACACCCTGAGTCTTGCTCTAAACAACTACCTAAACACTGTGCAGAATCAGCTCTCTCAGAGTTGGTTGGTCTTCACAAGCTCAACCGAGGCTGCAATCTGGTGAATGCTCAAGAGTGATACTCAGCACAGGCTGCACCACACGGTCCAGCACAGCAGAAGACACCAAGACCCACACATTTCTAAATCCTCTGGATTGCACCACGAGCAGAGACTGAAAAGGAGCAGTACAGGCCAGTGCAGCAGGTGACATGTCCCCCAACATCTCACACTTACAGAAGCTCTTTGCTAAGGGTTACCTAAATGATGAACAAGCCTTGTACCACAACATCTACATCATCCCTTTTACCACTAGTCGTAACAGAAGAAAATGACCTAAAAAATAGCAAGAAAATATGAAAAATGGCGATATGACACACTGATCCCCCTCTTTGACACAGAGTCAGCTCCCCATTACAGATCAAAGGCACAACATGATACAGCCCAAAGAAGTCTTCCCAGGAAAATGTGATAAACCATTTTAAAATGCCTTTTTTTTTTTAATTGCTATTCTTTACAAGAAGTACTTACTGGCAGCTTTTTATGTCAATACAAAAGTTCTGTTATAATCTTCAGTAAATGCCAAATAATATTAAATTGATTAAACTACAGCATATCACAGCCACGTAATTGCCAGGAGAGATTTACCCAGATTAGGTAAAACTGAACTCAAATTTCTAAAAAATAATAGTAATAATTAAAAAAAGCATTTTTGATGTGCTCATTCACTATCTTCCAATTTCACTTTAAGGTCAACATGTAAATTTGCAATGCATTATTCTCATACAGTGCTAGAGGTGTAGTAACCTTGCAAACTCCACAGAGCTTCCACTTTGGGGGCTTCTGTAGAAAGAAATGGCCTCGACAGTTACACAGACACTGGAGTCTGGGATGACGAGTACAAAGCAGCAAGTAAATGAAAATGACTCTACAGCCCTAAACCCCTGAAAGCTACTCCGGCAGAGAGAGGAAGCCAAGAAGGTACCTTCAAGAGCATCTCAGAGAGCAGTTCCACAAGGCGAGCGCTGGATGGGTCAGACACGGAATGATACCACTTGCAACTCCACCCTAATTCCACTCAGCATTAAAAAAAAACAAACAAAAAAAATCCAACAAACCCTCTACAAAATGGTACACCTGTCTTTCAACAAGGACTGTATCTACAAGCTTTATTTTCAAGCTGGACACTCTGCAGACTGCCTCTTCTACATGTGCTCTCTTTGAACCCTCATACACAATCCACGACACGCAAGATTTTGGTGCAACATCTGCTGCGCTTTTTCCAACTCCACCAATAACCTTTCCCAAGGCTAATTTTTCACATTAGGATGTTACTAATTAGAGGAAGAATGGTTAATTTTATTTAATTTTTTATTTATTTCTGGAAAGTCTTTTCATCCTGTATTGGATATCAAAGAAGCACAGTCCTTTCCCACTATGTTCAGGACTAGAAAAAGAGGTAACGAGATTTTTTTTATTATTATTATTATTTTTTATAAACAGTGCTTATTAGTGTGTTGTTTTTTTTTCCTAACCAGTCTAAGTTACACATTCAGAGGACAATGTAGTAAGACTACGTTTGGTCTATGGAATATTTGTCGAACTGCTAGCACCAAAGGGAGCAACTGAGCTGTATGTAACCATGTCTTCTTAACTCTTGAAAAACGTTGATAAATGTAACTTTTTTTTTTTTAAATTCCATGTTCATGAAAGTGCCTGTAGATGAGAGACATAACACTATTTCAAACACCAGAGTCCTCCATGACGACGCGTGGGCAGACGCTATGTACATGTCCTAAGAGCTCTCCCGCTGGCAGCCCGGAAGGTTGCCAGTGTAGCCCAGGGTCAGTGTTCATTCTTGGTTTTTTCTTTTTGTATTTATTTTAAAAAGGACCCAACACATTGCTCCGTAAGAGAGATGTTGATTTCTTCAATATCTTCTTCAAGGGAGGCTGCCCTAGTCTCCCACGGAAGGAAACGCAGCAGCTCACATTCTGCGTTGCGTGAAGCAATTGTGCGACTCTCCTTCTCCTAACCCGCTCCAGAGACTGCAAGAAAAATGAAATTTAAACCTTGTTCTATTCTGCTACGTTGCCATGCAGCTGGAGCCATCAGCCCACCACGCTTCCAGGTCTGCAACCCGACTCATGGTAAGTCAGATGGGTCAATGTGGCAGGAATTCCCTTCAAGGAGTTAAATCCCAGCAAAAAAAAAAGAAAAAAATTCCTCTTGGCCCATGGTGGAAGGTGGAAAAAAAAAAATAATCACTTTTTAATTAAAATTACAGCAAGTCAAGTAGCTGATACTTTTCCCCTCTCCTGGTAAGGGGGATGAGACATTGTTCACAAGGGTGTTCTGTCGCGCCTCGCTGATCAACCGGCAGGCCAAGTCCAGGAAGAGTTTTTCCACATTATCCGATTCTTTTGCCGAGGTTTCCAAATAGTACATGTCCTGTGCTTCGGAAAACTCTGCAGCTCTTTGCTGGGAGACTTCCCTCTTATCAGCTAAATCAATCTTATTACCTGCATCGATAAAAGATTTTAGAAAGGGAATTAATTTGACTTCCAAAACAAGAGAAACAGAACTTGATAAGGGATAAAGAAGAGTTTGGTGTTGTATTTTGTCTATGGATAGTGCTTTTGATGTGAAACTCTTAGTGCCTCCTCTCCCCTCCAAATGGCAGATTCCCTGATACACGTCACCAAGTTAATTTAGTATCAACTCATTTAATGGAATATGCCCTGTGAACACCCGAGTCTGTTAGCTTTAATTTAGCACCAGTGCATCTGCTTGCTGCTATCAAGCAACATTAAAGGATTTCCATTTTAATATTTATTGAAAGTTCTCCTGTTCTTGCTCTGAGGAGCACTTAAAATGTCAATTATAGCACGCGAGATGCTAAACGTGATATTTCTCATGTCATTATGAGCTTTAAGAGAAGCCTGGTGTGGAAGGCTGCTTTCCAATTTCAGTGTTCCCCTGGAGGATTTGGACGTTGAGGCTGGCAGAGGGACAGGCTCAGGGGCACTCACAGAGTGAAGTGGGGTGAGAAACCACCCCCCTTCCTTCAGAGAGCTCGGTTTAGCAGAGAGCTGATTAATGCCTGGAGCAAGGATCTGATACGATTATACCCCGTTACCGGCCACTGCACTTCAAACGTGGTTTTTTGCCATAAATTAATCTTACAAAGAAGATAACAGACTAGGACCTGTGATAGCAGGGGGCTGTGTCCATGGGCTCAGCAGGTTCAGTGGCCTCGTTTCTACCAGCAATTTTGTGAGGAGTGGGAGGAAAAGAGGCAAGCCACATCTCATTGGCCTCCTCTTAGATCCCCTTTCTTTCCTGATAAAGCAATTTCTTGGACCCGCTGCAAATACTGAAGTTCCCTTTCTAAACAAATTATCACTCCATGTAAGCGGTTAATGGGTGTCACCCTCTTCAAAGTGTGTATTATGGCTGTTATCATTTATATTTTGTGCTATAGATGCTGATAATTAACTTAATATTCCCTAAAAAACATTAATATATACATTTGTTCGTCAAGTATTAATTTTTTCTGCATCATTTGTACATGTGCCATACCCTTCTTACAGAGCATAATAACGAGTTTCTTCTGTGGGGAAGCTCCTCAAATCCCAATAGTCACTTGCAACACCATTGGGGGCACATAAAACACAAAAGATTGTTTAAAGGCAACTTAAACACATTTTGCAGTTCTCTAAACTTGCCTTTTAAACAGCAAACCATTAAAGTGGATAACGACATTGCAGTATGAAACTTTTTGGCTTTCCCCAATTTATTTATCCATTGATCTTTATATGCCCTTGGGCATTTAAAGGCCACATCCTATCAGATGCTGAAAGCAGAGGATGGAAAAGTGCAGGGAAGGAAAATAACCTTCACCTTCCTTGTAGCAGACAGATGGCCCGAGATCTGCTATAGCTTGAGTTGAAGCTCTACAGACTAACATAGCATTCAGTTATTTATTTTTAGATCCCCTAAAATTAATGCAAAAATATTCATTTTTCCAGCTCTGTCCCACCTGTGAATGCTATGATCCACACAACCATCACATCCTGGCCTGGTCTGCAGATCCTGACCCACTCGAGACAAGACTCCAGTTGTCCCACAGCTATGGGGTATAGGAACCTGCAGACAACCTTAGCTTGAGCAGATCCTTGTATATTTGTCAAGATCCAAGCTGGAAGCCACATGGGAAGCTGCTCTATTCTTAGCCCAGTTGGTAGCTGCACCATCAACACTTTAGTCCCATGTGGGACCAACTGGTGAGAAGTATCCACCTCTGCATGCAAAAGTCTCAAATGTGCGATGGGACCACACTTCGAGAGGTGCCTGTGGTGCCCTGAACACCACTATCAGCATCTCAGGGTCATTTGCAGGAGGAATGGTCCATGCACTGGGGTTTAAGTGCTAGGCTGCACCCTGTAACCACGGGTGGTTACAACTGGTTGGCAACAAGATCTGCTGCACCGGTTTGGGCACCCTGCACCACCACTTCCCACAGATACCACCTTTTCCTCCTGCTAACACCTCCATCTACCACCAACCCCTCGACACGCACAGCTCGCCCTCTCATCACACCATCGCACCCCGTAGGTGGACCTGCTCTGGCAGGAGGGTTGGACTCGATGTTCTCCAGAGGTCCCTTCCAACCCCGTACCGCTCTGTGGTTGTGTGGGGACGGCCATCGCTTACCCACGAGCACGGTGATGACCTTGTTGCTGGCGTACTGCTCGATCTCTCGCAGCCACTCGGGGAGGCACCGGAAGGATTCTTCACAGGTGATGTCGTAGGTCAAGATCAAGGCGTTAGCGCTGCGGTAGTAGCTCTGCGTGATGGACCGGAATCGCTCCTGTCCCGCCGTGTCCCAGATCTGCAGCTTTTTGGCATAACAAGGGAGGGTGGTACAAGAGGAAAAAAAAAAAAAGTTAACTTTTTTATTTGACAGCAGCACTGTTTTGACCTAAAAAAACTCCTTCAGGGTGAAACCAATGCTGGGAAAGCACTTAGTTCTTCTCCCCTTTGGCTTTCCCTCCCCCAGCACTTTTTGTTTCCGTTCCTCCGCTTGCGGATTGAAATGCAAGGCACAAAGTCAGCTGGCACCATGGCTGATGGCCCCTGGAAGCTGCAGATCTGCTGGCTTTCATGTGACTTCTACCATCTCCCTCCGCTGTGGGCAGAGCTGCTGGCCTGGAGTTAGAACGCAGGCCCTGGAGGGAAAAAGTCACTTCTCCTGCCCTTGAAGTCCAACCAACAGCAGCATTCATCCCAAGAAAAAACAACAAAGCCTCTCCTCTAGCTCCCAAAGCTAGTTATAATTATCCTGAGATGATGCACTGATGGGTGGAAACCACAGGAGTGAACAAGGAGCTCAGTTGAAGGCTGACTGGGGACTTTTCCTCTCTCCAACTTCAGCCAACTTCACCTCCAACATCAGGCTCGCTGCCTGCCTTCCCAATGTGTAGAACTCGTTGACATGTCCTTAACTATATCCAAGAGGTCATAAGTGTTTGCCAAACCCTCTGGGTCCAGGAAGACAACTTACGTTTCCCAATACAAACTAAACTCATACTGTTTTTATAACTTGACCATCTGATAGTTTTTGGTGGGTCACCAAAACCTCAATTCTTCAAAAAGGCAGTCAAAGAAACAAACATCCATAATTAAAACATTTCAATATAAAAGAGTACTTCTCTGCTTCAGCTTTTATGTTTTTAAAGCACCCCTCCCTGGAATTAAATATGTGAAAGTGTGATCTTCAGCCAGAATCCTGTGTACTTTGGGAAGGAAAAGGTAAAGTATTTGAGATTTTTTTTCCATATATTCAGCAGCCCGTAATAGAGAAAACCTTATTCTTACCCAGTTCCAAAGTCAAACTACGCCAGCTACTCATCATAAATGCGTTAGTTTGAAATGAGAGCTCCAAGTAGCAGCTTTCAGATGTAGGGTATGATTTTGAAAAAAGCACATTTTTTTGCAGAGAAAGTAATTTGTGGCTGGCTCACAGTTCCTGGGAACCGTTGTGCTTAATCTCTTGGCATAGTTGTATTTACAGGGCTAAGCGTGGCACGTGTAGTTAAGCGACACACAAAACCGTACAGTGAAATTACTTGCACAGGAAATTCAGATAACGAACGAATCCCCATTAAAACAAAACAGCCTCTGAACTCTGGCAGATGCAAAAATACAGATAATTTTACTGTTGCTCAGCTATTTTCCAGGAAAAACACTTACCGATTGGTCTCCTGGTTAAATCCAGCTTATTTGTGTTTTGCATTTATTGAGAAGATCTCCAAGCTGATACAAATCTGATGTGAATTTGTTCTTCCACAGCTACGATTTAGTTGCCATCACAGAAACGTGGTGGGATGACTCGCATAACTGGAGTGCTGCAATTGATGGCTACCAACTTTTCAGAAGGGACAGGCAAGGAAAGAGAGGAGGTGGGGTGGCCCTTTATGTTAAGAACAGTCTTCTATGCCTAGAACTTAGCAATATGCATGATGACAGTGTCGAGTGCCTGTGGATAAGGATCAAGGGGAAGACCAGTAAGGCAGACATTGTGGTGGGAGTTTGTTATAGACCCCCAAACCAGGATATAAAGACTGATGAAGTATTCTATAGGCAGGTGACAGAAGCCTCACGATCACTCTCCCTTGTACTCATGGGGGACTTCAATTTCCCTGATATCTGCTGGCAATATAACACAGCAGAGAGGCAACAGTCCTGGAGATTCTTGGAATGCGTGGAAGACAACTTCCTAACGCAGCTGGTGAGGGAACCGACCAGGGAAAGTGCCCTACTGGACCTGCTGATAGTTAACTCGGAAGGTCTTGTGGGGGATGTAAACGTTGGAGGTCGTCTTGGACAAAGTGATCATGAAATGATAAAATTTTCAATTCTCACTGAAGCAAGGCGGGGGACCAGCAGGACTGCCACCCTGGACTTCCGAAGGGCAGACTTTGGCCTCTTCAGGAGCATGATTGGGGGTGTCCCTTGGGAGATAGTCCTCGAGGGCAAGGGTGCCCAGGAAAGCTGGTCATTCTTCAAGGAGGCACTCTTAAAGGCGCAAGATAAAGCTATTCCCAAGTCCCTAAAATCAAGCAGGAAGGGAAGAAGACCAGCCTGGCTAAATAGAGAGCTTCGGCTGGAACTCAGGAACAAAAAGAAGGCTTATAATCTTTGGAAAAAGGGCCTGGCAGATAAGGAGAAATACCATGAAGCGGTGAGGATATGCAGGGGGAAAATTAGAAGGGCCAAGGCTCAAGTGGAGCTCATCTTGGCCACCAATATTAACAATAACAAAAAGGGGTTTTTTCAGTATGTTAACAGCAAGAGAAAGGTTAGGGATAATGTGGGCCCACTGATGGATGAGGTGGGCACCCTAGTAGTGGAAGACACAGAGAAAGCAGAGTTGCTGAATGCCTTCTTTTCTTCAGTTTTCACTGTTAGGACTGCCCCTCATGAATCTGTGACCTTGGAGGCAAGGGGGACGGTATGGAGAGAGGAAATTTTTCCTCTAGTAGAGGAGGACCAGGTTCGGGCCCACTTGGCCAAACTGGACATTCATAAGTCCATGGGCCCTGATGGGTTGCACCCACGAGTGCTGAGGGAGCTGGCAGACGTTATTGCTGGACCACTCTCGATCATCTTTGAGAAGTCGTGGAGAACAGGAGAGGTGCCTGAGGACTGGAGGAAGGCCAACATCACTCCAGTCTTCAAAAAGGGCAAGAAGGAGGACCCTGGGAACTACAGACCAGTTAGTCTCACCTCTGTCCCTGGGAAGGTGATGGAGAGACTCATACTAGATGTCATCTCCAAACAAGTTGAAGAGTGGGGGGTTATTGGAAGTGGGCAACACGGGTTTACCAAGGGTAAATCATGTATGACCAATCTGATAGCCTTCTATGATGCCATAACCGGTTGGTTGGATGAGGGGAGGGCAGCAGATGTCATCTACCTTGACTTCAGCAAGGCTTTTGACACTGTCTCCCATAACATCCTCATTGGGAAACTGAGGCAGTATGGGCTGGATGAGGGGACAGTGAGGTGGATTGAGAACTGGCTGTGTGACAGGACCCAAAGGGTAATTATTAATGGAGCAGGTTCAAGTTGGAAGCCTGTAACCAGTGGAGTCCCCCAGGGGTCAATACTTGGACCCGTGCTGTTTAATATATTCATCAGTGACCTGGACGAGGGGACAGAGTGTATCCTCAGCAAGTTTGCTGATGATACCAAACTGGGAGGAGTGGCTGACACCCCGGAGGGCTGTGCTGCCATCCAGCGAGACTTGGACAGGCTGGAGGGCTGGGCAAAGAAGAACCTCATGAGGTTCAACAGGGAAAAGTGTAGGGTCCTGCACCTGGGGAAGAAGAATGTCAGGCACCAATACAGGTTAGGGGTGGACCCGCTAGAGGCAACTACTGAAGAGAAAGATCTAGGGGTCCTGGTGGACAGTAAAATGGCAATGAGTAAACAGTGTGCTCTTGCGGCCAGGAAGGCCAATGGTATCTTGGGTTGTATAGGGAAGAGTGTAGCCAGCAGGTCAAGGGAAGTCATTCTCCCCCTCTACTCTGCACTGGTGAGGCCACAACTGGAGTACTGTGTCCAGTTCTGGGCTCCCCAGTTCAAGAGGGACAGGGAACTACTAGAAAGAGTCCAGCGTAGGGCTACAAAGATGATTCAAGGATTGGAGCATCTCCCTTATGAGGAGAGACTGAGAGAGCTGGGACTCTTTAGTCTGGAGAAGAGAAGGCTGAGGGGAGACCTTATCAACGCCTACAAGTATCTCAAGGGAGGGTTGAAGGAGGAGGGAGCCAGACTCTTTTCAGTGGTTCCCAGTGAGAGGACGAGGGGCAACGGGCACAAGTTGGAACATAAGAGGTTCCACTCAAATATGAGGAGAAACTTCTTCACGGTGAGGGTGACAGAGCCCTGGAACAGGCTGCCCAGGGAGGTTGTGGAGTCCCCTTCCTTGGAGATTTTCAAAACCCGCCTGGATGCAGTCCTGAGTAACATGCTCTAGCTCTGGGCAATCCTGCTTCAGCAGGGGAGTTGGACTAGATGATCTCTATGGTCCCTTCCAACTCTAGAAATTCAGTGAAATTCAGTGAAATTCAGCTTTAACAGAACGGACACCAAAAGCACAAGGGATCGCCCTGGGGGAGGGGGTTTCTTACTGGCTGCAGCCCTGGGTCTTCCTGCGAGCTGAGGGCAGAAGGCAGGGAAGAGCCCCCGACCTCACAGCCACCCATAAACTCTTCCTGCACACAAACTACACATCTCACACTTCAGCCCACTGATTAAAAAAAAAAAAAAGATATTGCACAGGAAGCCTTTTACTTGTCTCACTTTTTCAGAGGAACCAAAGGACGGCGCCTGACTCAGCCTGTGGAAAAAACTAGGTGTTTATTTTCTTGGAGTCAATGGATGCTTCCTGCTTTCCCAACATCTGCATGTCCATTTAGCTTCCAACGTATGAACATTTCCACCAAAGGCAGTAAGATCACAGGTCCGTAAGACGTAGCCCTCTGTTTTTGCACTGAGGATGTTTAGCTTGGACCAGCGCGGTAACTGCTCTCTGCTTGGCTCCAACTCGTGCAGCCTCATGGTACAGCTGCTGTACATAGTTTTGGTTTCATTAGGAAAGGCCAGGCTGATCAAGAGCCCCCCCAGTGCACAGTGCTGTCTCGGCTCATCTGTCAGCGAGGTTTAGTAGCCACTCAGAATCACACGGGGTTGGAAGGGACCTCTGGAGATCATCTAGTCCAACCCCCCTGCCAAAGCAGGTCCACCCAGAGCAGGTTGCACAGGAACGTGTCCAGGTGTGGGTTTGAATGTCTCCAGAGAAGGAGACTCCACCACCTCCCTGGGCAGCCTGTTCCAGTGCTCTGCCACCCTCAAAGTGAAGAAGTTCCTCCTCATGTTTAGGTGGAACTTCTTATATTCAAGTTTCTGCCCATTTCCTCTTGTCCTATCCCGGGGCAGAACTGAAAAAAGACGGGCCCCATCCTCTTGACACCCCCCCTTAAGTATTTATAGGTGTTGATCAGATCCCCCCTCAGCCTTTTCTTCTCTAGACTAGAAAGACCCAAGTCCCTCAGCCTCTCCTCATAAGGGAGATGCTCCAGGGCCCTAATCATCTTTGTAGCCCTCTGCTGTACCCTCTCCAGCAGTTCCCTGTCCTTCTTGAACCGGGGAGCCCAGAACTGGACACAGTGCTCCAGATGGGGCCTCCCCAGAGCAGTGCAGAAGGGGAGGATGACCTATCTCAATAACCTCAGGATAACCTCACCCATCTCTGATAGGGCTTGCACACAGCCTTCACGCTAGCAAGTCCCTCTCAACTGACTTTCAAATGCAATTCTGAATGCTGGAAAGTATTTTCTCCCCCAGAAATCGATCATTTATTCTCAGGTCTGAAAGCCTTTTTGGTAAACAGCTCTGCTCTCCCCTCCTGGATCCCAGCAGACATGCAGGAGATGCTGCCTGGCCCAGCAGCAAAGTTGGGGCTCAGGCACTGTGAGATGAGCTACCAGGCAGGGGAGGACACCCTTTGACTGAGATGTCATTTTTATTGCTCTGTGCTCTGGCTCATTCCTGCTTTTCTCCCTCATTAAATGTTTATTCTCACCAGCACTGCTTACTTTAAAAAAAAAAATCTTCAGCTTCACTCCCTGAAGGAAATCCATTCAGATTCCATTTCAGATGCTGGAAGGCTCATCCCAATGCCCAAACATACTCCACTAAGCTTCCTCCCGGGCTTGGTCACAGTGGCTGAGCTCCATCGACCCCAATTTACTCTACTGGTGGGGTAGGGAGAGGGAATTTGATTTAACAACTGGCTATTTGCTATGTGAAATACAGCTGGTAAACCAGCTACCACTCACTAAGGCTCCATGAAACACAAGCCAGCCCCAAGATGATTAAGAGCTGCTGGGGTGGACACTTGTGCATCCATCTGAAATTCTCAGGGCAGCAGGGACCTACCACGCTTGTAGAGCCTTCCCGAACCACCCTCGCCCCTGAGATAGCCCATGTTGGCATGACTGCTCCCAACTTTCCTTTAAGGACCTTGCACCCTCAGCCCAAGCTAGCCTTAAAACAGGATTATGTCACGGGAATCACAGAATCACAGAATCTTCTAGGTTGGAAGGGACCTTAAAGATCATCTTGTCCAACCGTCAACCTAATTTTGACAAAAATAAACACCCACACAACAAACTAAAAGCAACACTAAACCATATCTCCCAGCACTACATCAACCTGTCCTTTGAACACCTCCAGGGATGGTGCCTCAACCACCTCCCTGGGCAGCCCATTCCAATGTCTGATAACCCTTTTGGTGAAAAAATTTTTCTTAATATCCAGCCTGAACCTCCCCTGGCGCAACTTGAGGCCATTTCCTCTAGTCCTGTCACCTGTGACTTGGGAGAAGAGACCGACCCCCACCTCTCTACACCCTCCTTTCAGGTAGTTGTAGAGAGCAATAAGGTCTCCCCTCAGCCTCCTCCTCTCCAGGCTGAATAACCCCAGCTCCCTCAGCCTCTCCTCATAAGACTTGTGCTCCAGACCCCTCACCATCTTTGTTGCTCTTCTCTGGACCAACAAGTCAACCTCAGATAAACCCCTTGGGTGATTTCACCTGTCCAAAAACCAGACCTCAGATATAAGCGATGTTCTTTAAGCTCCGTCTGTACTTGACAGGAAACCAGATGCTTGGAAAGGAGAGGTGTCTGGAGTGGATAGGATTAATCTTCCTCAGAGATTGCTTTTCTCCCTCCATTGCCCAGGCCAATCTTGAGACAGCTGGTTTAAGCCAAGTATGTAAGGGAAAAAATGAATTCCACCCTCAGTGCAGTACTTAAGCCATTTAGCAGCTTAGATGCTCTGAGCTGCTCCAGTGGAGCTGGTCTGGGTAGAAAGAAGCATCTCTGCTGTCCGAGGAGCCTGGACAAGCAGCATCCATGTCCTGGTCAACCCTACAACACCAGATGCTTGCTAATGAGCATCACAACCATCAAACTAAGCACCAACAGCGTGGGGGCTACACGTGATCCTCACTGTCTGCTGCTCTGCCCCACTCCAACAGCGATGTGCGGAACATTGACTGGGTCTTTATCAGGTGAAGGTATTTATACCTCTTTGTTCTTCACCTGCTCAGGCTGGAAGGTCTTCTGATCATGGACCATCACTTGCCATCGGTTTGTACAGCTCCTCATGCAGCAGGGTGGCAGCCTGCTGACATGATTGTGGATTTTAAAATCTGCCCTAAACTTAGGAATGCACCACCTTATTTCCCTCTTTAAAACCCTCTGTGCTGAAATACAAGTTAAAAACAAACAAAACCAAAACCAACAGTGCTAAAAATCTGCACAAGTCTACTGTTTCCATCACTTCACTTACACAACCTTAAAAATGGGTCTCAATGTCACATTCAGTCGCTGTGACACCACTGTCACACTCCTATTTGCTCACTGCTAGATCTGATGAAGGCAGGAAGGGGAAAAACGCTGTTTTTCACTTTGATGCCCCTGGAATTAATGCAGGCAGAGTAATTCCAGGAGCAGCTTAAGGACCTTGCACACTTGGACATCAGAAGCTCAGATAACAATACTCTTCTCCAACCACAGTAGCTCTAACACAATCTCTGCTAATGAGCAAAGCAATGCCAGCCAACATCTCTGGGTGCTGGAACTCAACTACGGATCCCATTAAAGCATGAGGTTGGTCCCTGGTGTGTTTTGACACAGACAAAGCAGCTCTTTGCCAAGTGATGATCAGGCTCAGCTTGGGAGTTAGTACAGGACAAGGACAGTTCCCCAGCAGCAGTTTGGTTGCAACCAACCTATTTTGGAGGATGAAAGGGTTAATAATGCAGATATTGCCCTTCTCACTTCAACCAGTTGACTGAAGCATCAGTATTGTGACTATCTCCACGTCTCCCAAATCCATAACTTGGCAGAAGTGGAAGATGAGCCTTCATTGTGTGTAACCACTCAAGTCCAGAAGCCTGCTCTCCCCAAGAGTTGCCTTGGGAACTCACAGAAGACCTTCACTGAGCATTCCCCAGTGGGAATGCAACAGATTTCTGCTTACCAGAAACGCCATGAGCAGAGATTGCATTGAAGCACTTCTTTGCACTTCCTCAACCCCAGCCAAGCACAACCTCGGTGTCTCCTAAGCAAGGACAGAATTTTGCCAGACCTTCCCATTCCATTTTCTACCTTAGAATAGGCTTGCTGTTATGATTCTGATGGTAATTGTGGAGAGGGGTGCAAAGCTTTAGACCCAGCATTGCCTGAGCCATACCATGGAGCCCTGGACTTCCCCATGTGTCCAACAGCCTTCCGGCAGTGAGACACCTCAGCTACGTACTGCCACATGAGTTCACACTGAAAACCATCAGGCTCCTACCTTTACTTTTTCACCGTTTATCTCCACGGTTTTAATCATAAAGTCAACCCCAATCGTGGCTCCTTGACCCGGTGGGAAAAGCCCCTGAAAGAAAACAGAGTTTCATTAAGCAAAGTTCTGTAGCGCTCTTTGGGTGCCAGCCCTCACCCTTTTCCAACCCCAAAACTATTCCCTCCCTCCTGCTCTTCCCTGGACACTTATTTCCATCATGTTTAGAGAGGGAAATGTGATATTTCCCCAGATCAAAAGTTACCATAATTCAACCCCACAGTGCTTTCCCTACTCATGCACCATGTTGTTAACTTCAGATGTGGGAAAACAGGAGAAGAAAGAGAGGATGCACACAGGGAAAAAGAGAGGGGAAAAGCCCTTCTGCTTCTGTGCAACTAGAAGAGGCAGGAGAAGGACAGATGAGGACCCTCCATGCTACTTCCCAATGCCTTGAAAGAGGTGCTCGCACGGGATGAGATGCCTTTGCTCCTACAACCTCATGCCTTCCTTCCCCCCTCCACCACAGGCCATGGCATGGAAAGGCATTTCTGGCAGCTCCCAGCACCAGGCTCCTACCTTTACTTTTTCACCGTTTATCTCCATGGTTTTAATCATAAAATCAACCCCAACGCACAGCATTTCAGGACTGAAGCAGAGCCAGACACCACCAGTGCCACAGCAACGCCAAGGGCTGGTGTGACGCTGGTGGCATTTGATTGCAGCACCATCAGAAAGGAGCCACAGCAAAACAACAACCAACCAAACAAAAAATAGCTTTTTGATTTCTGGTGCCTAGGTCTACAGTCATGTTGATTTTGGGGCCCATCCATCCCCTACAGCAGCTTCGTTGCCAAAGCACAAGCAGCAGAAGCGGCCACAGATTTTTTGTGGTTAACCCCTTGGGGTCTTTGGGGTTGCCTGGCTTTATCGCCACTGGCTGTCACACGCAGTTGGAGAGTTTATAACTTCACCACAGCTTTAGAACTAAAATTAACAGTGAGGGGGGGAAATTGCTGACAAATCCTAGTGGAGAGTGCAACAAAAACCTCACAACTTATGTTTTATACTGCGTCATGCAAAACCTTCTCTTCCCCCGGATCACATAAGCCCGGTACCTTCCCTGTTATTCTGCCACAAAATCAGGCCTGATGTTTAACAGAAGACACTGGACTGACAGCCCAGGACCCAGATTATTTAATTATCTACTAATGACAAATAATAGGGAGAGCTTTGTGCAGCAGCAGGAGGAATGAGGAGAAGGTGGCACATGGGAGCACACCAAGAGATGTGCTGTTCCTGGTAACTGGTCCAAAGCACCTCCAAATCCCAGCGGCTTTCAGAGAGGACTTTCCATCCTCATCCTCAGAGAGGGATGAGTGTTCTCCAACACAAGACGCCAAACAGGGCTATGTACAGCACTAGATACAGACATGTTGCTTGTACCAGTATGTTGCTGTAGGTGATGCACGCACCAAGTGGACAACAAATGACTTTGGAGCTGCAATGCCAGTGAAGCCCTTGGTCCACCCCCACGGGCTCCACGCTCCCATCCCAGGGCTGTCCCCACCCCAACATCCCACATCCAAGAGGTGGCCAACCTTACCTGAGTGAAACGACGGACTAAGCAGGTCTTCCCCACACCGGCGTTGCCAATTAAAACAATTTTGAAGAGGAAATCATAATCTTCCATACTCATTTACGCAGCTGCAAGAGAGAGAGAGAGAATGCGACACGACATGAACCAAGGCGGTGGGGAAATGCCCTTTTATGCCTGCTGAACTTTATTCCTCCAAATATCCAGAACAAAGGTCTCCTGGCACACGCGTGGCTCCTCAGATAAGGGAGAAGAGCCCTTCCCACCCTGAGCCGGGGCATCCACGTAGCTCAACATCACCTGCTATGAAACCTTGGCCACATTTCAGCTTTCACACCATCTCACCTGGCTTCCGAGGAATTAGAGATGCTGGTTTTCAGCTTTTGGAGCAATGCTCCACAAGCACGAGCCATCCTTTCCTAGATTTCCCTAGATGGTTGTTTCACTTTTAACTATGTCAGCTCCAAAGGACAGTGTGGACTTTGTCACCTTGTCCGAGGGGATCGTGTGATTTATTTCTGTCAGGGCAATACCCAGAAACCCTCCATGAGCTCCTCCAGGTGGGTGCTGGGTACCCACAGAGCAGGGCTGAGGCACACACGAGGGCAGAACAGATGGGGAAATTAAAATAATTTTAAAATAAAAGCAGCAGTGTCTGCCTTAAAGACAGAAAGAGCTCATTTGCTAAAATCACAGTGGGGAGTGGGCCAACAGTTTGGCTGAAGTACATTAAGAGAGGTTTTTAAAAAAGAATTATAGAATAAAATCATAGAATGGTTAGAGTTGGAAGGGACCTTAAAGACCATCATGTTCCAACCCCCCTGCCCTGGGCAGGGACACCTCCCACCAGACCAGGTTGCTCAAAGCCCCATCCAGCCTGGCCTTGAACACTTCCAGGGATGGGGCATCCACAACTTCTCTGGGCAACCTGTTCCAGTGCCTCACCACCCTCACTGTAAAGAATTTCTTTCTAATATCTAATCTAAATCTCCCCTCTTCCACTTTGAAACCGTTACCCCTGAGAAGAAATAATAGGTGATATTAGGAATATTGCTGTTACTATTAGAACTTTCTTCACTTTTCTGAGGATAGCTCACTTGGCATAAAACTAAAATCAAAAGTGAACACAGGATCCTGGGGGGTACCCAGCACACATCCCTCCCCCACCGCCCAAGTCCAACCTCCTTAGCAGGATGTAAAGTGATGTTTCATCAATGTCACAGGTATGGGCAGGGTTGCCTACACAAGGGAAGACCTACAGAGCTTCCTTAGGTCAAAGTATGGGGAGGACCAAACAGATAAATGCAGTTTGCTGAGGCTGAGCGAGGGATGAGTATCCCCACCTTGATCTCCAGTGCACCCAAGGGCGCTGCCAACACCATGGCCAGAGAAGGGGTCTTGTAACCTTTGAGAAGAGAAACAGGCAGAAGAGACTCAGTTGGAGATTTTAGGCAGCCAGGAAAACCCACAGAAAAGGGAGCAGAAGGGCAGTGTCCAAATCCAGCTGTGTCCAGGAGGATCTAGGAATTATACCTGGTGTCAAAAGACTGGTCTGGAGTAATGGCATAAGAGACATCAGTAAGGAGACAGATTTACAGGCCATCACTTGAGATACCAAGTGAGGTGATACCCAAGCATTGGTACTGAACCCACCAGTACCTATAGGTTAGGCACTGGATGAGGAGATAAAGCCAAAGATGGGAAGTGTAGGAGATGGATGGGGGGGAAAAAAAGGAAAAAAAAAAAATTATGATGAAATTGATGTCCTTGGTAAAGACCAAAATTGCTTAAAAGGTCTTTTTACAGAGCTGACATAGGGAACAAATGCAACATGGGTGAAACAAGCTTCTCACACTCAGCCAAAAGGCAAAGTGTCCTCTCCCGCCGCCTCCAAAGGTCCTTCCTTGGGAGGGTTCACTGCCACCCTGCTGTGGCTGCACACCAGAAGGCTCCAGCTTCAGAGCCCAGTCCCACCATACAGCTGTGACAGCCTCATAGTCAAACAGAGAGTACAAGATCAAACTGAGATGGTCCGTGTCTGCCTGGCAGGACACACTGAAACAGCTCTCCAAGCACCACCAAGACCCTGGTGAACCTGAAATCAAAACAGGTTGAAGACTGACTCAGCTGCTTCACGTCTGTACGAACCTTGGCCTTTCCAGCAGCCTAAAGAAAGGGTAAGCACACCAATTAGTGACTAATGATGTGCATCACATCAGCAGATGGCTAGCAGGGACACGGCTGAGTCACTACACAGACATGTCACTCCTCCTGGGCTGGTGACACAGCATGGCACTTGCTCTGCTGAGCTGGAGCTACGGTCCCCTGCAAAGTGCCACCAAACATCAGCAGCTGGAGGTGTCCTGAGGATGCTCTAACCTCATCTTGCTCTGACACACAAGACCTTGCAGCTCCCTCCTATCTCTTAACACTGTGAAAGAGTGGGACTTTAAAAAGCAGCCTTAAAAAAAAAATAATGTCCTTTTTTTATTTTCTGGGGTTGTTATTTTGTGTAATTGTGTATCTCCATGCCTGGCTTTCCTGGAGTGGGACTGGATAACACCAAAAAGAACCTGTTGACAGTGCTCTTACAATGAAGGTGAAATGTTAATATATGGATTCAAGCTTTCATACAAACCAACATGAAAAATGTGATCATCCACTAAAAGCTATTTCAAGACTAACGAGACTTACTCAGCACTGGATAATTATCCCTGGGATGCTTCAAATCCCGGAGGGCACTGCTCCCTCCTAGAGGGATTTCAGTTCTATTACTTGTACCCTAAACAATTCAACGTTCAAATTTATCTTCTCAGGAAGCTTAAAAATAAACTTCCTCTGCAGATCTTTGAGCTCAGAAACGTTAAATGGCTTCAGACGTACCCTAGAGTTATGTCTGATCTCCTTCATTAGGCTCCAAGACTAATCACATGTGATAATGACCCCAAATGGGAACGGGAAGATGAGCCAAGGCTGTAAAACAAACAACGCCACGATGAGATTAAACGCCAGAACTGAAGAGACACAAAGTGGGGGCACAGGAGGGGAGAAAGCAAGGGGCTGAGCAGCCAGGAAAGGAAAGAAGTGATTTGGGAGGTAGAACGAGCCGGTGAGGTTGACCAGCACTGCCATGTCATTTTCCCCTTCACCAAAATTGACATTTCTGCCTCTGACGTGCACACACCCCAGCCTACCACGCCGTCAGCCCCGAGCACAGAAACATTGCATCAGTCGCCCTTACGAAATCTTCTGCTTCTGGCAAGAGGAGCCTTTCGGCCAAGTGCCCTGTGCTGCTGACTCAGGCTCACGCCACCCTCCCTCTCCCCAGGGAAGATGTGTCTCAACCTCTGCCCCCTTGGCCACGGTCATGGAATGTGCATCTCAGCAATACATCACACTCTGAATTATGTGCTTAAAAAAAAGGAAAAAAAAAAAGAAAAGAAAATGCAGAGTGCAACATTGCTTGCTTGGGGTTCTTTTTGTTTGGTTTTGTTTCTGTTTTTTCTCCCCCTTTTCTGTTTTCTTGTGTTTCCAGTGGCACAGCTCTGCCTTGCATCCCTGTTGAAGGCATTAGAGCTGCAGCTGCCTGTCCCACCCTTTGACAGAGACAAGACCCTATGGCAAGGGCAGGGGGTGGGATGCCTCTCCGTGCCCCAGCCACCCCTCACCACATTGGTTTCAATCACAAGCAGGGCTGGCTACAGCAGAGACATGCCCTATCACGAGATGAAACAGAAGCAGAACAGAAAATTGGGTTTCACAGCTGGTTTTCCCAGGGCTGGTTCATACAGCTCGTGCCCTCTCCAGCCCCTGCAGCTCATGACCCCCCACGGGCTGTTCCCACCAGCAGGGGATCTCTTTTGCAGGGTTTTATTTCATTTTGGTCACTGCTCTGCTCCATTCCACCACACAGCCCCTGTGCATGGTCACTGTGGGCAGGAACATAAGGCCAGGAGGGGAAAGAAAATCAAAGTGGGGCAACCACCCGGAGAGGTGGTCCATCAGCAGGAATGCAGTCAAAGGATGGCAAGTTACATTTGAGGTTTAGATGGTTTTCTTCACTTGGGCAAGATAGCGCAGTAAACGCTTTTGGCATTTTCCAACTATTAATTCCAATTCAACCAAAAGAGTGGTGAGACCCACCCAAACCAAAAGCACAAGGGCCAGGGGCTTTCACTTCTTCTTCCCCCCATGCAAGCTTGTACAAACAAGCTTCAGCTCCCATGAAGACACCTGAAAAAGGAGCCACAGAAGCCACAGGCTGCCTTCCCTATGCAGTGAGCACTGCTGCAAAACCAGACACGCACCAGTCCTTCCCATTTCTCCCAGTATCTTGGTTGCTAGAAACTGTCCCATAGCCTGGTCAGCAGGACTCGGTCCTCTGTTTCACCTTCCATGGGCTCTTCACTACCTGTAGGTGTGAGACAGCAGCACAGCTGATGGAGGAGAAAGACACACTCCCTCCTGCTTCTCCTGTCCACCACAAGCCACAACCTACTTATCCACAGTAAATACATGCTTCAGGGAATAAGATACCCAGGCATGTTTTAGTTTATTCCCTACTATTCTCCCTGCATTTGCTCCATTCCCCTATTAGTTTTCCCTCATCCACTTTGGTTTACTTGACAGTGTTTATCACCATCTGAGCCAACTATTTTATCTTTGTGCAGTCTTCTTTCACCCCTGTGGTTTGGACAGGCATAGAGGATTCCTCTTCATCTCTGACCATGCCATGCTCGGCCTCGTTGGGTATCAAATAAAATGCAAAGGTTCAATTATCACCTGGGAGACATCAGTGACTTTGGAGTGATCATAGTCTCTTTCCAATGAATTAATCCATTTTTCTGCCTGTCCCTCGTCAGCTTTTACACCAGCACCCGTCTGCACAAAGCAACCAACAAGCATGAGCGAGGTTTTTAGCTGATAAAGAAATCCTCTGGCACTTCTCTCTCGACTCCTTTGCTTGAGGAAGACTTTCCACTTCTAGGCATGATCAGAGCAGGCTCTATGATGATGATTTTGCCCCCATTGTTTTGGCTCACAGAGCCAAAAGGGGAGCGGGATACTTCAAAAGAGCAATCTTTTCTCAATCAACCACACGGTGTTGCCA